TCTCTAATTGCCCTCTTTTCTTCCAGTTGCACTGGCGATTTTTCTGGTGCTTTTTCTTCCTTTGGTTTAACGTGTTCTAATTTGTCGACTTTCCCGTTAATAATTTTGTGTACCGGGTTTGTTATTTCTGTCCTGATCGTTTCCTGTTGTGGCATGAGCAGTGAACAAGCCTTCAGTGGCGAGTCTTGCAGTTTCGTTGTTACAGTTGAGTTTGGTTTCTGTACATTCCTTCTTCTCGGTGTGCCATTTTGATTCCTGGGCGCTCGCCTTGAGCCCTTGCTTCCTTTGCTGTTGCTGTTGTCTCTGACTTGGGTTCTGTTAAAGCAACTGGCTATGACAAATGGCGTTGGATTGCATTTAAATTCCTCGTTTTTAGCGAGTTCGTTACATGGGAATTCATCCAGCAACAGCTGATCGCAATACAGGTCATTCAGGTTTGGCAGGTTTGTCCCTTCACAGCCGTTGTAGGAGACGCTTTTCAGATACACCTTTAGTTTCCTCAGGCGCCGTTCGTCTGAATAATGAAACAGCGATTCGTTCAAACAAGGAAGGGACTTTGTAGAAATTGACAAAAGTGAAATCAAACTGAATTATGAGGAGCCAATGCGAATTAAGCTCGTTCCCAGATTTGTTATGGACGAATAGATCTGGGAACGAAATTAGAGCTAAATTGATCCTCAGGTTACGGAAGTTTTTTGGTGGTTCCCCGGAGCTTTTACACTGCTAGTCATCTATGCGGCAAGCGTGTGTCCTGGCACGTAGCATTTGCCCCCAAACATGCAAATTTTATGTGATCTACTGCAAAAGGCCAAAATGCTCCAGTGATAAGCAATAGGCCATTTCCGAGTTACCTTCTGCCTCTGTTTCAAAACGAGTCTTTTGCGCAAAACCTTTCATATGAAATTCAGTTTGACTTGCATGAAAGAGAACCTACGGTCGAAACGCATTTTCATATGAATAGTTTCGCACGCAGACTCCTTTAGACAATGAGGCAAGAAACAACTCGGAAATTTCACCTTCCATTATCAAAGGTTTGAGGGTCATTCTCGTCCCCAGAGCCCACGATCCTTCTGGCCTGCGGCAGGGATCGAGAGCTCTGGGCTGATCCAACACCGGNAAATCAAACTGAATTATGAGGAGCCAATGCGAATTAAGCTCGTTCCCAGATTTGTTATGGACGAATAGATCTGGGAACGAAATTAGAGCTAAATTGATCCTCAGGTTACGGAAGTTTTTTTGGCTCCCCGTAGCTCTTACACTGCTAGTCATCTATGCGGTAAACGTGTGCCCTGGTACGCAGTATTTGCTCCCAAACATGCAAATTTTACGCGATCTGCTGCAAAAGGCCAATGTGCACGAGTGATAAGCAATTCTCTATTTTCCAATTGCCCATAATTCACTCTGTTTGGCCCCCCAAATTTTGCGTAAACTATTGTTGTGAAATGCTCTTGGGAATATGCAGACCTCCCAAGAGCATTTCACAACAATAGTTTACGCAAAATTTGGGGGGCAAACAGAGTGAATTATGGGCAATTGAAAACTAGAGAATGGGCCATTTGCGAGGTACCTTTTGCCTCTGTTTCAAAACGAGTCTTCGCGCAAAACCTTTCATATGAAATTCAGTTTGACTCGATCGCATGATAGAGAACCTATACGGTCGAAACGCATTTTCATATGAATAGTTTCGCACGGAGACTCTTTTAGACAGTGAGGCAAGAAGCAACTTGGAAATGTCTTATTTCACCTTCCATTATCAAATGTAATTAAGCATAAAGGTTTGAGGGTTATTCTCGTCCCCAGAGCCCACGATCCTTCTGGCCTGTGGCGGGGATCGAGAGCTCTGGGCTGGTCAAACACCGGAAGTCCGCGATTCACGGACTTCCCGTCAAATCTGGCAAATCTGGTTGGCTGAGAATACGAAACGAATACTCTGCGCATGCTCAGAGAATCGGGTCCGGCCAGAGCTCTCGATCCCTACCGCAGGCCAGAAGGATCGTGGGCTTTGGGGACGAGAATGTTTGAGGGTTAGTGATCACTAACAGAAAATTGTTTGACGTGTAAATAAATTCTTCCAATATATAATACTAGAACTGTGTAGCGACCAGTGGCAAGAATTCATATGTTGAACATTGCGAC